GTAGATCTCGTCAAGATCTAAAAACACTATAATAAAGCTCTCTTTCGTTAAGGATTTCCTGAGATATTTAAAATTTTGTTATATTAATGTAAAATATAAAATATTTCGTAAAGTATTAAATTTACTTTTTGATGACTTTACGTTGATACTTTTATACGTAGAATAATAAAAGAAACTGATTGTTGAAAAAAAAACCAAACAATTATTTTAAAAAATTTGATTGCATTTTGCAGACGCATTCAATTTTACAAAATTGCAAATGTAAAAATTAATATTATTCGAATTCTTTCATTATTCTACGTATAAAAGTATGAAACTAAAAGTCATCAAAACATGAATACTTTACGAGATATTTCATATTTTATATTAAAAATATTATTTTAAAACACAATTTAAAATACCTCAGGAAATTCTAATAACAAAAGAGAGCTTTATTATAATGTTTTGAAGACGTCTCAAGATCTACAACTTTTATCTCAAGAAAAAAATCAAGTTCTATTTAAGAAATTAGTCTTCTTTAAAATTGTTGAAAACGATATCTACGACATAACTAACGTAAGAATCATGTCAAACCAAACAATTTTCGTCTAAAGCATTTCTTTCTAGAATCACAAATAAAATAGTTTTTGGAGGTAATCGATTAAAATGGGACACTGTATACGTATTACACGTGCATATATTTATAATAAATACGATAGATGCATAGATACAGATCACTTTTTTGTTCTCTTTAACTTTAGCAACATATACAAGACAGCATATACGTATAATACGTGTGCGATTTTGGATACACCTTCTGTCTTAGAGTCTGTTCACACGAGGCGTTTTACGCGCGGTTGCGCTGCCGCGCGTGGCCGCGCGTTATCGCGAGACGAGGTGCAACAAGTAGTCTAAGTACTAAAGTAGTCACAATAAGTACTCCGTTTCACGTGGTCGCTTCACGCCGTCGCGTCGTGCATACGTAACTTTACCGTGCCATCAGTGCATCCGTTTATCGTGCTTTCAGTGCGCCCGCTTATCGTGCTTTCAGTGCACCCGCTTATCGTGCTTTCAGTGTACCCGGTTATCGTGCTTTCAGTGCACCCGCGGTAAATGTTTACAATTAGGGCCTGATCTCCGATGACCTTGACCTTGACATATGTTGTCAAGGTTACCCTCCTGAGTGACCTTCAGAAGGTTTTAGTCGGGGGTCGCTTTTTATTAAAAAGTTATTAACAAAAAAAAGTTTGACGACCTCACCGATTTCAATGACCTTGATATATGTTGTCAAGGTCATGACCCCGAGTGACCTTCAGAAGCTTTTAGCCGTCGCTCGTTATTCGTTAAAAAATTATTAACAAAAAAAGTTTGGAAAATACGTAGTTTAGATGACGCGCTTTACAAATATTTAACTGTTTAAAGCGCGTCACTAATCTACATAGGTTAGATGACGCGTTTTAACAGTATTTAATTGTTTAAAGCGCGTCAACTAACCCATGCGTAAACCATTTCGGGGCTACCGCACCTCCCCCGAAAACAGGGAGGGGGTGTGGGTGAACCTCGGTATGCGTGGAAAGTGTATGCGTGAACTTTTCATGCGTGAAAAGTTAATATGCGAGATGCCACATGAGTTAGATGACGTGCTTTAAAAATATTCAACTGTTTAAAGCGCGTCATCTAACCCATGTAAGTATTCTCTGCTTTAACAAAAAGACTTCAATTTATCAACAATTTACTGCTTTAAATGTTGTGTTTTGGTAAAGCAGCGACTTTCTCGCGAAATAAAGTATTCTCTGCTTTAAATAAAAACGTAATATTAGTCGTTTATGCCTCTCAGTACTTAAAATAACTGCTATATTTTCGAAACTTTTTTTGTTTATAACTTTTTAATAAGAAGCGACCCCCGACAAAAACCTTCTGAAGGTCACTCAGAAGGGTGACCTTGACAACATATGTCAAGGTCAAGGTCATCGGAGGTCAGGCCCTAATTGTAAACATTTACCGCACCCGCTTTATCGTACCTTTCGTGCACTCGCTTTACCGTGCCATCAGTGTCCCGGTTTACCGCACCCGCTTTATCGTACCTTTCGTGCACTCGCTTTACCGTGCCATCAGTGTCCCGGTTTACCGTGCTACCAGTGCACCCGCTTTACTGTGCCATCAGGGCACCCGCGCTCATTAGTGCGTCTGCAAATCACTGCGCCTCCGCCCGCCTGCAATTCCCCGTCTCAATCACGCGAACGGTGAATGTCCGCGTCTCTGTGCGTGACTTTCTGTGTCATCGCGCGCCCGCTCAACGCCGTCGCTGCCTCGCGAACGGGAAACATTATCGCATCTTGTGCGCGCTACTGTGCACCAGTGCCAGCTGTAATCGCCCTAAGTGCGCCAGCTAATTGTCCGCGCCCCAAGTGCGCCCACTGATTAAAAGGGCCATATGTGCCATGCGTTCACGCTTGTATTCCCGACGCTGTCTTTGCGACCGGCAAACACGCACGCGTCACGTGCACCGCGCGACCGGTGAACATTATCAAATCACGTGCACGCTGTATATTTCTGCCGCGCCTGTTCTGACTGTGAAGTGCCTGCTTAAAGTGCTCTTCACACTACGTATCGCGGACGCGAATCGGATTGAGATTGCGGATCGCGGATCGTAATCTAGCCAATCATGGACAAGCAGCTCATCTGTGATTGGCTGATATCCGATCCGCGATCCGTAATCCCAATCCGATCCGCGTCCGCGATACGTAGTGTGACACGGGCATAAAGGCTCCTGCTGGCTCGCGAGCCAACTCCGCGTTTTCGCACAGACAGCGTCACACTTGGCAAAACTGTGAACTATAAGGCGTGAAAAATGACACATCAAAGCAAAATTATCTTTGCGATTTACAGCGTTATTCTTCATTTTAGTGCAGTGTTTTTACATTTAAAATTATTGTGATGGTGTTAAAATACACCGAAGATATCCACTTTATTGTGCAAGCAAAATACTTATTTCAATTCGGCAGCTGTCAAACGGCTTGTTTTCGTTTTTGATTAGGCAACATTCACTTCGACAAATGTGGATTACTCATATGAAAGGAGATATTTCGGTGAATTTTATGAATCTATTTTATCGTTTACAGATGGTGTTTTATTAAAAAGCATTTTTATTTTAGTGTAAATTGCAAGAATTTTCATGATATATTTTTATGATTTTCTCGCTTCTGACGTCATCAATCCAAGATGGCTGCAGTGAGTGAACAGGAGCCTTAAGGCTCCTGGTCCCTGAGCCGAGAACTCTGCGTTGACGGTGGCGACGTACCGTCGTGGCAGAAATCAGAACTCTCTCCTCTCACTCTCTCCAATGGAGAATTTTGTCTTGTGACATGTTGACAACCTATTTTGTTGCGCTATTTCTTTATTATTCACTCTGTGCTTGTGCTCTAACGTTTAACGTATTCGTGAAAGTCGTAAAATTGGCCGAAAAGTAAGATTTGCATGCGGAAGGAACGTTTTCACCTCTTTTCGATAGTCGTTAAACGGCTGTTTTTCCCGTATATTTAGGCTTCGTTTTATGGCTGTTTGTTTATTGTCGAAGGAAAAGGGTAGTTTTCGGCCAATTTCGGAAGTGTTCTGAAACGATCTATAGTGATGTTTTATTGAAATGTCTTTTTATTTGAAAATGGCATGCACAACAAAATTGGGTGTTTTCCTCGCCTCGATAGTAAGAATCCAATATGGCCGCGGTGACTACCCAGGAGCCTTAAGGGGATCCTATAGCGAAGGCCGAACTTCCTCGACGTCGGTAATGTCAACATTTCTAATCCTGTTTTCTATGTTATATATCTATCTCTGTCCTTGTCTAACGAGAGGCAACTGTCTTTGTTCGATTGCTGCGCCATCTCTCGCTATACGCAATACTGCTTATCCTGTCAACCTAAATGTGCTTTTGCTTAATAAAACTTTATTTTACAAAATCTTTTTTTCTAGACGTTGAATCTTAGTTTTATTTACAAGATATTGTTCCTACATGTTGTCCCTACGTCGTTTTGGTGTCATTATACATATATAAACTGCAGTAATTTTGTTATTGTCGTCAGATGACAGTTGTATGTGCCTAAATTAGTAAAATTTTTAATTTTTTTTTGTTCCCGATATGAAATCGTATAACGCGATGTAGATTTTTGTGCGTACTTTAATTCTAGACCAAAAACTTGCAATTCTGTAAAGCCAATTCAAAGATTCCTTAAAATAAAAAAATGTCGGTAACTACCGCCACTATAGGATCCCCTTAAGTGGAACGCACCCAAGGATAGACATTGTTATAGGTTATATTGCATTCATTACAATTACTCTTTTTTTTGTAGGCTTTTATTCTTAGTTCCAATTGCACGATATTGTTCTTACATGTTGTCCCTAGGTCATGCCTGTCTAATTTTGTGGATATTTATTGTGAAATTTTTGTACAAAGCAAATATTGTCGTCACGTATAACAAAAAATATTAATTTTGCTTCCTCATAGAGGAAACTTTGTTTTCGTTAAAAAAATTTTTTTTTTGTTTTTCTGAATGTGTTTAGAATGTTCTATTCTAAAACGTCGAAAAATTGCAATTGTTAGTACCAATGAACGTACAATGCGAATGCTGGTAACAAATATTTATTAGATGATAGGAGTACAATTATTCGAGCACGATGCGTACCGGTCGCGCGTACCACGAAAGGCGGGCACTTGTCAATTTGTAAATCGTTTGTACAATTCACGCGTTTCGGACATCACCTTACTTAGAGGCACTCCACGTTTCAATATACTTTACGCGCAATAAAGAATTAAATAATAGTTAGTGACTGGGCAAACTCCGAGCGATCGATATACTTGGCGGTTGTTAGAGCGACTAACTGCCGCGGTCTCGTATACCGCGGATTCGGGTATCTCCCCTTCCAGGTTCGACAGTTTACCTCGAGGCTCACGCGTGATGCGGCCGTGCGGCACTTAATCATTACAAATACATATACATCCCGCCCACCATTAATAACAATTAATCCTAACGCTTGATTGCAGATATCGCAGGCAACGCATCGGTTAACGGGAGTCTACACAATTTGTTTACGCTACGCTTACAAATTCCATTAGCAGTTTTAAGGGTCGCAACACGCACCCTTTCGTCGGTACCCTCGTAAACCTGGATTACTTTTCCTAATTTCCACCTTAATGGCGGCGCATTGTTATCTTGTATCAAGACAACATCGTTAATGGCTAAATTGTCTCGCTCAGACGTCCATTTCGTTCTGCCTTGCAGTGACGTCAAATATTCTCGGCTCCATCGCTTCCAAAAATCTTGCGCGATTCTCTGAACCGCTTGCCAGCGATCGAGTCGATTTAACGGAATGTCGGTTACGTCAGCATCTGGAAGAGCGATCATTAAATCACCTGTTAAAAAATGTCCCGGTGTTAGGGGTTGTAAATCGTCTGCCGTGGACGGCAACTGACAAATCGGACGCGAGTTCAGACATGCTTCAATTTGTATCAACACGGTAGCCAATTCTTCAAACGTCAGAAGACTTTCTCCAATAACGCGTTTCAAATGAAATTGGCATGATTTTACCCCAGCTTCCCACAATCCCCCCATGTGAGGTGACGATGGTGGGATAAACTTCCACTCTATGTTATGTGAAATGCAAAACTCGTTTACGTCTGGCTTCCCATTTTTGAGTAGACGATATATCTCACGGAGCTCATTCTTGGATCCTACAAAATTAGTAGCGTTGTCACAATAAATGCGCTGCGGACAACCTCGACGTCCCACAAAGCGTCTAAGCGCTGCCAGAAAGGAAGCCGTGCTAAGATCACTGACCGCCTCAAGATGGACGGCCCTTGTTGAGAAGCATACAAATAAGGATATGTAAGACTTGTTGGTTTTTCTTCCGCAGCCTCGATTAACCAATGTAGTAATAGGCCCGGCAAAATCTACGCCAATTACGAAAAATGGACGAGTCGGGGTGACTCGATCTGCGGGCAACTGACCCATGATCTGCGATAATGGTTTCGGCTTGTTGCGGAAACAAGTTATGCAATCATGTGTGATTTTTCTGGCGATGATTTTCCCTTTGAAAGGCCAATATTTTTCTCGAATTGAATACAACAATGCCTGTGGACCTATATGCAATAGTCTACGATGTTCCTTTTCGAACAACAACCTCGTGAATCTACTATCGGATGGTAGAATGATTAGATGTTTCTTCTCAAAGGCCACTTGAGAGTTTTGAATTCTGCCGCCCACCCTGAGAAGTCCTCTCTCATCCACAAACGGATTGAGCGACAATAATTTGCTACTAGATCGAATTTGTTTCCCCGACAACAGGCTTGACATTTCCTCGGAAAAATGAACTCTCTGCACCGCTACAATCAATAACTGATGCGCGCGGCGAATCTCGTCAATTGTCAGAAAATCTAAATTACGATTGTCGCGATTCCTCCTAACATTAAAGCCGAATCGAACGATCCAAGCCAGAATGCGTTCGATCCTTGACAGTGAAGAGTATTTATTTAATAAGAACTCCGCAACGTCATTTGAAATGCCAACGCTCACGAAGACTCGCGTATTGGAAACCCGTTCTGCCCGAATGGTTTTCTCGTCTTCCTCGGTAAGACTCAGCGTTTTCATCTTACGTAGCTCGCAATCATCGGAACGTGACAACCAATCGGGGCCCTCCCACCAGATTTTGCTCTGCCTCAAAATTTTCAAGCTTGTACTCTTCGAAATCAAATCCGCAGGGTTCTCGTTTCCGTTCACATGATGCCAATGTCTCGACGGAAGAATGGACTGAATCTCAGCAGTTCGATTCGATATAAATAACTTCTGACACGATGGATCGCCGGCGATCCACGCCAGTACTATCTTAGAGTCGCTCCATGCGTGCTCCTCATCGAGCTTTATCCTGAGAGCCTTCTTAACGCCTTGCACCAAATGTACAAGCACCACAGCACCGCATAGCTCGAGCCTAGGCAGCGTGATAGTCCTACTTTTAACCGGTGCAACGCGTGCCTTTGAACATAATAAGAAAGAATTAGAATGGCCGTCTGCGTCTATTGTTTGCAAGTAAATACAAGCCCCGTAGGCCCTCAAAGATGCGTCGCAAAATGCATGTAGAATGAAGCGCACCACATTGGAACTCCGAATTACTCTACGAGGTACTTGGATCGTACTAACCTCTCGTAAATCTTCCGTATAAGCCTCCCATGCCTGACGAAGATCCTCCGTCAACGGCTCATCTCAACCCAGACTCGCTAACCAAGTCCCTTGCATGATCAACTTAGCTCGAGTCAAAATGGGTCCGATCAATCCGAGTGGATCGAACAATTTAGAAATCATTGACAAAACCTCGCGCTTGGTCTTAACTGAACTCGTTATAGGCTCGATGGAAAACTGAAACATGTCTGATTTGGGATGCCAACCCAATCCCAATGTCTTTACGGCACTTGCGTCAATCTCCAACACCGTCGACTCCTCGACTCGATCGACGGCAAGCGGCTCAGGTACAACTCCCTCACGATTTGAGCGCCATTTGTGAGTCTCAAAACCCCCTTCGCATAACAGACTCTCCAATTGTGAGACTACTTTAATAGCTTCGGGCTCGCTATCAGCTCCTGTAATAATATCGTCAACATAAGAATCCTCTAGTAGAATTCGCGATGCTAGTTCAAACCGGCTAGCCCCGTCTTTGGCTTGCTGTTGCACGGAGCTAATGGCTTGATGCGAAGCGCTAGTTTGACCATAAGTCACGGTATTCAACCAATAGTCATCTACCGGATCAATCGGGGAAAAACGCCATAGAATTCTCTGATAATCGCGGTCATCCTCGTGTACTAAAACCTGGCGATACATTTTTCGCAAGTCAGCCGTGATCGCAACGGCGTGCAAACGAAATCGCAACATTAGGTTAATTATGCTATCCTGTAAATTCGGTCCCTTCATCAACGTATCGTTCAATGAAATGCCCGAGGTGGTCTTCGAGGACGCATTGAATACCACTCGCAGCTTAGTAGTTGTGCTCGATTCACGAAGAACGCCATGGTGCGGCAAATAGACTGGATTTGGTATTCGAGCGTCCCCGGTGACCTTAGACATATGATTCAAATCGATATATTCCCGCATAAACTCGGAATACAATTTGTATAATTCCGGTTCCCGTTGAAATTTCCGTTCCAAACAAATTAAACGCTTCATCGCGATGTCTCTCGATTGTCCGAGCTGAGCCCTGTTTTCGCGGAAAGGTAGTCGAACGACAAACCGCCCGGACGCGTCTCGCTTTGTTGTGTTTGCGAAATGATTCTCGCAGTACTGTTCTTCCTTCGACAACCTTGTGTTGTTATCGGTGTATTCTTCCAATTCCCAGAATTTCCGCAAAGTATCGTCTAATGATATTTGCTGCGTAACCAAACATACATGATTATTTGAAGGTTGGTGATTGGTCGTCCGACTCGCGATCAAATGTTGTGGTACTGGGCCCGACACAATCCAACCGAACTTAGTGTTTTGTAATGCCGGCAAATTATTCCCGAGTTCAATCTTACCGGCTTCCAACAATTGAAGGAAGAATTCTCCGCCTATGAGCGCGTCAATATGACCTGGATTGTAAAAGAACGGGTCTGCCAATTTTAGATTTTCTGGAATCGACAATTTTGATATCTTAATGGAAAGCGAAGGCAAATTTTTAGTTATTTTCGGGACAACCAAACAACAAAGGCTCAACTCGAACTTCGACATTCGCGATTTCATCGAAATTTGACAACCGTATTTTATCGCGCAACTCATATTATTTAGACCGTTTATGGATTCGCATACGCTTTCTAATTTTATGTTCAATCTATTGCACGCTGCTAAAGTAATAAAGTTGACTTCGCTCGCACTATCCAATAATACACGCAATTGATTATCATTATTATTTGATTCAATATTTACAATAGCCGTTGACATCAGTACTTGCTTACGCTCGCCTCGGGCGTGTTGAACCGACATGTTCCCCGATGACTCGTTGTTACTGGTTGATGCTCCCATCTCCGTGTCCGCCAGAGCACAACGTGGTCCCGGATGACTCCCTCGAACGGTCCGCCGAACCACCTGCCGAATCCGCTGACGAACAGGATGCCCGCTTCACGATGTGGCATAGCGTGTTGTGCCGCTCACCACATTCTCGACATGAACCTGACCTGCAATCTCTCGAAAAGTGATCATTTCTGAGACAATTGAGACAAAGTCTCAATCGCTTAATTTCCCGGATTCTATCCTCAACGGATAAGCCCAGAAATTGTTTGCACAAATAAATAAGGTGCTGGCCTTGGCACAGGTAACACCGTCGCTCCTGTGTGATTGTTGACAGTGTCGTTTTGCCTTGTGCCTTTGAATTCAACGATCGCTGCTTACTCGTTTTGTCCTTCTCGCGAACGTCGTCCTTTGCCTTGTTGACGCTTTCGCTGTCCGAAGTCGCTCGTCGCAACAGCTGACATTGCCGCTGCAAAAACTCGATCATCACGCTTGTCGTCACACCGTCCCTTTGCTCGATGTGCTCCTCCCAACGTCTTCTTGTCGCGTTGTCCAAATTCTTCTCGATCAAATAAATAATTAGATCTCCCCATGACTCGGTAGGGAGTCCCATTGCTTGTAAAACTCGCAAATGTTTTTGAATATGATCCACTAAATCTTGGATCGCGCTGGCTGATTCTCGTTTCACCAATGGTAGCTCGAACAAACAATGTATGTGCCGCTTCCGAATGCCTCGCTCGTCATCGTATCTTTTCTTCAACAAGTCCCAAGCGATGGCGTAATTGTTCTCGGAAATGTCTATCGACTCGATTATTTTAGCGGCTTGGCCGCTCAACGAACCAACCAAATATTGATGCTTCTGCACATTAGTCAGATCGCTGTCGTGTATCAACGTTTTAAATGTGTCGGAGTATCGCTTCCACTCTTCCATATTTCCGTCAAATGACGGCAACTGGATTACTGGCAATTTTACGTGAGATTCTCGTGCGTGCGTGTTAGACCGCGTACTTAATCTTTCTAGTAATTGATTTTGTTGTTCTATTATTCGTGCCAACGCACTGCCGTCGCTTTCAACCGACCGCTCGGCCATTCTCTGAATCAACGTTGTCTGCTGCTCCAGAACTTGCATCACGCCTGTATCACTGTTCGAAGTCGATGCACTTGTAAAAGGGCCTGTGGGCGGCAATTTGATCCTTTCCGCCAACTGCAGCAGAGCGGCTTTGGTCGAAAAGTATCGCTCATCAAACTCGTTTTCCTCCACTTCATCTCTTTGCTGGTATTCCTCCTCAGGTAGCAGCAATAGGAGGTTCTGCGCTACAGCCTGGAATTTCAAATGCGTGTCCTCCAACGCTCGAAGGCGGGCCGTAATTTCTCCCGGTAGCACGTTCTCCGCATCTTTCTCAGCCTTGATGATGAAGTTTCTTATGTTCGTTATTTTTCCCTTTAACCCGCTTCTTTGTTTGCGGAGATTTTCGACGCTCATCTTCCTCGTTGTACGTGCACGACAAACTGACTATTATACTTGTCTTCTGTCCCGACGAGGGCCAGAAAGAGGAAAGGATGAGGTGAAAACACGATCACGTGAACTCGAACTGACACTCGGAGCTCAGCGAGGTCGACCGAACGTCTCTCGGTTAACGACTGTTTCTCGAAGGCTCTCGAAGCTTCTTGAAAGCTTATAATGTCTGCCGAACGCACTAAATGTTCACTCGTTTTTAATGTACACCCTTGTTACTTCGGCGCGCGCTAAGACCGGCGGCTCCTCGCCGACCGCAACCGCGTGCTTCGGAACGTGCACCCTATCCGGCTCGAAGGACCATTTTGTTAGTACCAATGAACGTACAATGCGAATGCTGGTAACAAATATT